GGCTGACATTACTGCGTACCAATAAAACCTTCAAATTCACAGGGAATGGGGAAAGTGCAAAATGATGAATTGTTTGACATTTAAAAGAAAATAAAGAGCTGCTGCTGGATTGAAACTTAAATGAGACTTGCGGAGGGAGGGAAAAAATTACCAGGAGCAGGTTGAGATTTTTATGTAATTCCAGCGCAAACTTCACAAACGATTGTGTGTTTCTGATCTCCTGGCCCCAGAGATCCAGATCTTTGCACTGAAACATGTCCTTAAAGCAAGAGACAACACTTCTCCCAAATCGCTTGCAGGACGAGTGAAGGATGGAACAGAAGACGAGCGTTTATGAGTGGAAACCAGTATCTGATGTGCCCAAGATTAAACTTTTCATTCCACTACAAATCACTGGTAAATCTAGGAATTAACTCAGGCCTCTCTAATCGCTGAAACCAGACCCACATTCATCAGACTGGTGTTGCTTTCCTGAGGCTGGAAAGATCCCAGGCATTCACAATTTAAATCCTCTGCGTATCCACAGGACAGGTAGCGCACAGGTGGAAAGGCATCAGAGCAAGGATTCTTGCAATTTGTTTTGGACGGCGTGAGGGCGGAGGGAATCAGGTCCCAAATGACTGAGACCACAGATGCCTTCAAAGCAAAAATGAAATGTAAACGAAGTAATGAATTTCCAGTGCCCTGCACAGTGATGGAGGCACAAGGTGACCAAGAGACCGAAGAGGCTGATATCAAGTCTGGAGCCACGGCGCACGTGCCAGCCGCTGCTATCTCGTTGTGCGTCCTTGAGCAAAGTCACATCTAAGAGGTAAATGGAAACAGCCAGGCCAAACCAGTGCTACGGGCACCCTGTAATAACGGTTTGTTGAATGATTTTCAGCGGGGAGGAGCTGAAGCAGGTCCCCTGATGTAAAACAAGTTTGGCATCGGTGAATCCATCCTGGATTACATCAGGCAATATCATGTTCTGCGAGGGTGAAATCTCATACAGAGCTCTGCTAGGTGTCACTCTCCAAACACGCTCTGCGTCTGCACCTGGGGTTGCAGAGTTATCACGCTTCTTCCTTTTCTTTTCTCCTTCCTGACCACAACTTTGAGCTGCACTCTTCGCCCTGCTCCCCTCTGCTTTCCAGCACACTGTTTTTTTGCATTTTTATTTGCATTAGATTATTGGAGCAGGAGTCTAAACACTTAAGTTACTCCAAATCCCTCCTCATATGGAAGTCAGTGAGCTGTAAAATATTTAAACTGTCTACAGTTGTACCTCGTTTGTTTACACATTTCCAGTGGGCTGCTAAAAGGTAACATACTGTAATAGAAGAAAGATCGAAGATTGCTGATTCTGATTTCAGAACAGCTCTAAAAGTGCTCTGAACACTTGAATTAACTTGATGGAGTAATGTAGATCTCAACTTTCTGAAGCCTTGGGGCCCCAGCGGAGCAGGAAAGCCATGTGCTGTACTCCAGGCTTTGCTTTATGCTGTCACTCTGATCATTGAGGAAGATGAGGTTAGGTGGGTCTTGCCGTAGTTACTGCTGGAGGCATCCACAAATCGGCCTCCACTCTCCTGCCCACGTCCTCCGCAGCTGGGTCTTTCAGCCCTTTGTATTTTTCCTCTTGCCCTGCTGAGGAAGCGCTCCAGGGCTCGGTGGACACCTGAGCACGGGCTTAGACGTGCCTCTCTTCAGGGCACTTGTAAATGTCCTGTAGGAAAGGAGAAGCGTGCTGTTATCCTTCAAAGGGCAGCGAGAGGAGGTGACAGTTGACTAATCAGTCCCAAGGCAGCAGAGGGCATCCATGAGTTTGAAGATTCATCTCCGGAGCGGAATGAAAATAGCCAGACACTGCATCGAATAATTAACAGGACAGATTTCAGCTCTTTTCCTGTTTTCCCTTTAGTGTTGGACAAATTCAAGAAGTTCTCAGGTTTATCTTGAGGCTTTTTTTTTTTCCAAATACTCTTTGAACAATATAGAAATCATAGTGCAAATTAGTTTCACAAATGATGACGAGATCTCTCTTGCCTGACTGGATGCAGTGCATGTCTTTGCAGGTGTGGATAAAGGTGATCACTGTAAACGCATAATTTTCAGGTTGTTTATTTGAATGCAAATTTCACCACTGAAAATTCACACCTTTGTTAGGAATTTCGTAAGTTCACTTTGGAAATCCAACCAGTTAGCCATGATATTTATCTTAGTTAAGCTTATTTAGTGGAATTGTTTGTAAAAATGAGCTTGGCAAGGCAGATTTGCTTAGTAATTCAAGCAAATATTTGCAGGATTATTTTGCCACTTTCTCTAGCTCTGTGATGGTGATAAGGTAGAGGAGTAACACTTCCTCCTAACATATTCAGCTTTTCCCGAAAGAGAATCCGTGTCAGCTAGGGACCAAGGCCTCCACCTTCTCTTAGATACCTGACATCAAAACATTTGTTCAGGAGTCCTCCAAGAATAAACCCAAAGTAGATACCTTTCACCTTGAGCTCTCTAATTAATTTCCTAATTTTAATTAACATTATATTAAATTATCTAAATGTAGTCTCATGTAGTGCTTATGCTAGAATATTAGTGAAACCCCACGGATGGACAAACAGGGGCAACGTTTTACGTGATGTGACATGGCAAATCACACGGCAAGGCTGCTGATGGCACAGAGACTCTCCAGGTCCGAGGGCTCTGCTCTAACAGCCAGACCAACTTGTTCTCAGGTCATGAGCAAAAACAAATTTAGAAGTTCCGTCCCCTCCGAGCTCCTCCACAGCTGCTAGAGCAGATCTCCAGTGCTATGGGGAAGGGTCAGCAATACCCCCAAGCCTTCTGGTTCTCCATCAGAGAGGTCTCTTTCCACTCGTTGGAAGTTTACGGTGAATGGCAAGGAGCCAGCCCCCACGGGCATGGGATGGAGGTGGCTTGTTCTCGAGTGTTTAAAAGTCTGACAAACTGTTTGCAGTTCTAGCAGGGATCAACACATTTCTAGAATTAAAACCAACATCTTGGATAGCAAAAACGCTCTGAACAAGGACTCTTTCTTCAACCCAATGCACAAGGGAACTTTCTTTAGTAAGCTATAAAATCCCTTACTATAAATCAATTATTTTTGCACTGATTTATTAACTGCTCTCCATCTGTTCAGATTGGCGCTTAAAAAAAAATTCCTGGATGGTCCTACTGAAATTTTCAAAAGCATTTTCTCTGAAGTACTGTTGGTCCAACCTCATTATAATCTTCCCTGGTAACCCACATATTCCTAAATGTTCTCAAGCTGGCAAGAATGGAAGCTCCAATCCACGCAGAGTACATCCGATCTTGCGGCGAGATGATCTTGATGTGAGTTGCGTTGGGAAGTCCTGTCTGGAGCTCCTTCAGAAGCCTCTCCTTGAAACCATGGAAAAGAGTTGACCCGCCCCATAACAGCACGTTCCTTAGGAGATTGGACTGGGTATGCTCATGACACCTGGTGATGCTCCAGAGGACCATCCTCCCAACGCCTGGCCCTGGGATTTCTGCCTCTGCGGGCACAAAAAGCGCTTCAGGAGCTCGGAATAGCTGGTCTCCCACCTTGACAGCCCTTCCGTCAGGGACAATGTACTCGCAGTTAAGTTTTTCAGGCTGCATATTTTGGCTAGGATCTAAAGCAACATAGCACAGCTTCTCCTTCATATCCCTGACCATTCCCTTCCCTGCTGTGCTGACAAAGGAGTGCCCGGTCTCCAAGAGCAGCCTAGCAAGGTATTTGGTGACACCTCTGCCTGCAAAGTCCAGCCTGGTAATGCCATGTAGCAGACACCGGCCTTCGTAGACTGGGACGGTGACGGTGACACCATCACCACTGTCCAGCACCAGTCCAGTTGGGCGGGCAGAGGCGTACAGGGCCGTCAGCGCCTGCAGAGTCACGAAGAGGGCAGGCACCTGGAAGCTTTCGAACATCATCTCAGCCATTTTGTCTCGGTGGGACAAAGGATTGAGTGGGGTCTCGGTCAGCAGCGCTGGCCTCTCGCTCAGTTTCGCGTTCATGTTCATACAGGTATCTCCAAATCTTCTCCATGTCGTCCCAGGATGTAACTACCCCATTTTCCACAGGGCAAGAAGGACAAAATGCCCCTTTTGGACTGCGCTTCTTCCCCGATATAGCAGTCCTTCTGATTCACCCCGAGCATGACAAGTTTGAATTTGGGGTATCCCACAACGGTAGAAATCACCGAACGGGGTGCCTGTTCCCCTGACAGACCGGCCTTACGCTGTCCAGAGCCGAAGTCGAAAACCACTGCTGGGGTCCCTGCCACCGCGGCGTCGGACATGCTGGCAGGATGGTGCTGTGCCTGGAGAAGCGTTCTGGATCCTGCAGCAGATCTGGGCTGAGCTCACAATCCTCCTCCGCAGCCGCCCCGGCAACGCCGCTCCCTCCAGGGAGCGTTTTGGTCCAGGGATAGTACTTGGAAGTGAAACTGGGTGTTCTTACCTCCCAGATAAATTACAGCCGAGAATCAATGGATTTTTTCAGACCCTCAGGCACAGGGGAGGGTCGGTTACAGTAATTGCATTTGCATTGATTTGTATTTGGATTCTGTTTGGGGTTTTGCTGGGTTTCTAAAGGAAACATTTTTAATGACGTCAAAAATAACATGAGAGCTACTTCTAGAATGGAAACCCCAGATATCTCGGAGACCTTAGAGGGAGGAATCCCCCAGCAGAGGAGGTGTGCTACAACCCACCTGACTCCAAGGCAGACGGCGAGGCGGTTGAGGAGCTGCTGCATCCCGGTGACACGTGCACACCTGTAAACTCTGCGGAGGGCTAGGGGAAGAGGAAGGGGGATGATAATAAGATCGTCATTACCAAAGTTTTCAATGTTTTGTTTTCATACAGGTTTTGTCAGCCAACAAACGCACAAGCAGCTATAGCACCTTTTAGGTCAGCTAGCTCTTGGCAGGGTTTCCTGCTCATACATCGTCTTAGCAAGCCGAGCAAGCCGCTCACTCGGTCTGACGTTCTCCTTAAAAGCACTTTCACTGAATGACGGCTGCCCCAAAATCCCAGTAATTGCTCGCGGTGACCCACATCTTTCTGAAAGGTGCCAGGCAGGTGAGGATGGAGGCCCCAATCCACATGCAGTTTTTTCTCTTGGGGGGTGCAATGATCCTCACAAACATGCCAGCAGGCATTTGCATCTTCATCTCCTTCAGGATCTGTTCCTCCAGGCTGGGGAAGAAAGAGCGTGGACCCACCTGAGAGCAGGATGTTGCCATAAAGATTCCTGCGCACGTTGATGTCACTCTTCATGATGCTGTTGAAGATCATTTTGTGCGTGCCAGGAGCTTCAACTCCAGTGTTTGCAGGCTTGAAAAGGGTCTCTGGTGCACGAAAGAGCTGGCTGCCTATCTGGATGATATTGTTGTCAGGCAATTCGTATTCTTTCATGATTTTTTCTGGCTTTATTTTCATTTCTTGGATAGGGTCTAAAGCTACGTAGCACAACTTCTCTTTGATATCTCTCACAATTTTCCTTTCAGCTGTGCTAACAAAAGTGTGTCCACTCTCCAAAAGAAGCTTCATAAGATATTCGGTGATATCCCGGCCAGCAATATCCAGCCTGGAGACAGCATGGGGTAAACAGTATCCTTCGTGTAAGGGGACAGTGTGGGTCACACCATCCCCGCTGTCCATGACTATTCCGGTCACACGGGCCGAGGCATAGAGTGCCAGAGTTGCCTGGACTGCCATGTATGTAGCCGGCACTGCGAAGCCTTCGAACATGATCTCTGCCATTTTTTCCCGGTTCTGCAGAGGATTGAGGGGGGCTTCAGTCAGCAGCACTGGCCTTTCACTGGCTCTGATTCTCAGCTCACACTCATAGACATGTCTCCAGATCAGTTCCAGATCATCCCAGGATGCAACTATGCCATGGTCAATTAGATAATTCAAAGACAGGATCCCTCTTTTTGGACTTCTCCAATGTAACATTCTTTCTGCCCAGCTCCCAGCATTGTAGGTTTGACTTTTGAGCGACCAACAATTGCTGTAAAAACAGACCTTGGGTCACTGTCACCTGCGATACCCGCTTTGAATAACCCAGACCCCCTGTCAAAAATTACAGCTGGGACATCCAAAACGCTGGGGTCAAACATTCTTCGCAGAGCTGGTGGCTCCCCAGAATGGCTCCTCAGCACTGTTTGCCCATTCCCCTCTTACAGACTGGTCACCATTGCTAGGGAAGTCATCTTCAGGACCTACAGCTTGTCAGTTCCAAAGCGTCTGCCCCCAGCTACCTCATCATGGCCCGTGATACAATAAGACATTTTCCCAGCAAGTTACCTGATCCCGGACACTGCCCTGGGTATGGCCAGTGCAGCTTTACCATGACTCCAGTCAGAGGACTATCAGCTCACCGAGTCTGATCCACAGATCATGAACCATGAACGTATCCCTGTAATGAGATCGTGAGCATTTTTTTTTTCTCAGAACAGAAAAGCATGTATTGCAAAAGACATGCATGACAATAATTAAATTTTTCACATGCGCCTCTGGCTTAGCTAAGGCTCTACAAACGTTTCCAAGAGCTGATGAAGATTAGGACAATTTTGCCGCCTTGTATGTATTAACTGAATTACAGTTTGCTTTTCTGAGTAAACTCTGCATTGCAAGCAGACCTTTTTCAACTGAATCTTTTCTGATCTTTTACAGGAAACTCCTAAAAATATTTTCAGATAGTTACAACTATGTTTGGCACTGAGTGTGGCATTCTGGAGTATTATTCCCTTTAATTTAAAGACTACTTTTTGGTAAAATCACAAAAGTGAAATAATAATTCCTGCCTCTTGCTGGTTCAAAACCCCCAACAGCTTTACACAGTGCTTGTAATACATTCTAGTGCAAAGAAATGCCTTCCCCTAATGAATCTCCATCCTAGGCTGCTGACAAGCTGACCTGCCTGCAAATAAACAGACATGCAGATGTCTTCCTTCCACGCTTCCCTTTGCCATTCAGCACTTCACTGAGAAGAACAAACTCGTTTTTGGAAGCTTGTTCAAAAGGATTAAAAATGTCCTAGACCCTCCCAACCGATCCCCATTTCACATCTAATTGTTGGGATTGTTTTAAACTTTGCTCCAAGAGAAGATTTCCCAAAGAAATAAATTTCTACAGCTTTGAATCCAGTCAGATCTGACAATCCAAACCCATTTACAGAGAAAAAGTCCTTAAAAAAAAAGTCACTACATAACTTCAGTTTGAATCCTTGGCTGCCAGAGTTTAATTGCTTCTCCTTGTGGCTCTAAATCCAGGGCAGCTTCAAAGCAAGGGTGGCTTCTGTTAAATTTAATTACTTGTTCCTGCAGCTCACATGGCAAAGGTGGCAGCTACTAAATGAAGGTGGTTACGAATCAGAGGCAGATTCCAAACAAAGATATATATCAAACAGAAATTTTAAGTGTAAGCAAATGACCTCCTTGTACAGACCCATTTATACCCCAGAGGAACCACTGAAAAAAAGCACCATCCAACAAAGGATCAGCTCTGTGTATGTTATTTCCATTCTGCTTAGATTCCAGACATGTGTGTGTTGAACGGCACTCTATCCATTTCAGCAATTTCTCTAATCCTCTTAATATTTGTGTACATATATTTCAGTGTGTGGCACACTTGTTTTCATGCATGCTTCTATATTAATGTCAACAGGTGTCCTAATCATTTAAGAGGTTGTTATATGCATCACACTAGAAGCCCCATTTAATCCTGCGTGGTCTGCACGCAGCTTACAGCGAAGCACTCGGTTTTGAACATGATGTTGAGTATTCAAAACAAGGGAATATTGACTGCGATCATTAAATGGCAGTTGAACCTAGACGCAGGAATG